CAGAAAGCTGAGGCAGGATTGTGAGTTGGAGACCCTACCTCAAAAAAAAAATTAGAAAAACAACCTAAACATAGTATAAAATATCACACAGGATCAATATGGAGTGCTCTCTGTCTTCTCTCTCCATCCCTCTCTCTCCCTCTCTCCCTGTCTCTTCCTCTCTCTATTTCAAAACAAAGTCAAGAAAAGCAGGTTCCCACACTGCTCCAGAGCACACAGTATTGAGAAAAATTCTTGAGCAATCCAGACTCTGCACGATCCCACTCTAGGAAGGCCCCAACAAGATTGCAATCCATCTGGCTACAGGTTTGGAGAAGAGGAACAGCCCTGCATTGGCAGACGGTAATGAGATAATTAGGAAGAGTTCCAGGACTTCCCCAGGGCAATCACCAGGTGAAGAGCAGGTCCCACCCACTACAGGTTTATGGTGCTGACAGTGACTAGGAAGCTGACTTGGGCCAAGAGCCTGGGAACCCAGGAAACCTCTTCCGGCATAAGTTGGCCCTCACTTTCAAATGAGGCACTGGAAATCCCCTGGGGTGGGAGGACATTGCTTTCATCTGCTTCTTCTAGAACAGGTTCTATACTCACCTGTGCATGCCCACATTTGAAAGACACTGTGTCTGAGTACACCCACATCTGAGGAGCACTCTGATTGACCCATGCTGAAGACTGAGGCTCCTTTACTTAAGCTCAACCATTCCCATAGAGCTCGGGAAATCACATCACTGATATCACTGATCATTGTCTCATTCTGATGAGCCACCAAAGCTAACCAAGATAAATTACACAGCACTGCTTAACCAACTGGTCACAAAGAAGCTATGAAAAAGGAAGGATCCTGAGCCTCTCAGCTTTTTCCTCTTAGGCCTGTGATGGCTCTTTCCTGTGTTTCCTTTTGTCCCCGCCTCTCTTTCTCTGCCTCCTTGCTCATCCTTCCTCAACACAGGCATTTACCTAAAGTCCCTTTTTAAAAGACTTTTAAAAAGTGTGTGTGTGTAGGTCAGACAACAACTTGCGGTAGTCAGGTCTCTCCTCCCAGGAGGTACCTTTACCCACTGAGCCATCTCACCAGCCCCACAAGGTGCTTCTCTTTAGGTTTATCTCTTCATCCTTTTTTTCTGAGTAACTGTCCCTTGTTTCCTTTCATTGCTGTTTGTGCCAGTAATCACCGTAAAAACAGCCAACAATTTTAAGGTATCAGTTCTCTGTGCTAAACCCTCAGGCTGAATTCTAAGAGTCCAGTGGAAGACACCAAGTCTTATCCCCATCTTTTATGCACAGATGGAACCTTTAGGAGTTTAAGTAACTTACACAAAGCCACCCATCCAGTAAATGCTAGCCTACCTGCTGCCAGCTGGGCTGGTGGCACTCTTGCACCTCATGCTGTTCCATGCACTCTCTCATCTGGACACCCTTTCTAAGAGGCAAAACCATGTCCACCAGCTGGTGAATGTTGACCAGCAGACATTATTCACTGACATGTTTGCAATTGTTGTTAAGATATTAGAGTAGGATTGGAGAGATGGCTCAGCAGTTAAGAGCACTGGCTGCTCTTGGGGAGGACCTGGGTTCGAATCCCAGCACCCACATGGCAGCTAACAACCATCCATAACTCCAGTTCCAGGGGATCCGACGCCCTCTTCTGAGCTCCACAGATGCTGCATGACACAGGTGCACCTACATACATACTATAATAAATAAAATATTTTTAAAAAAAGATATTTGAGCTGGGTGTGGTGGTGCATGCCTTTAATTCTAGCACTTGGGAGGCAAAGGCAGGTGGAGCTCTGTGAGTTCAAGACCAGCCTGGTCTACACAGTGAGACCAACTGGAGCTACAGGAAGACCCTGTCTCAAAAAGCCAAAAAAAAAAAAAGAGAGAGAGAGAGAGAGAGAAAGAAAAGATATTAGAGTAAGCAGGGAGTGGTGGTTGTGCACACCTTTAATTTCAGCACTCAGGAGGCAGAGGCAGATGGATTTCTGTGAGTTTGAGGCCAGCCTGGTCTACAAAGCGAGTTCCAGGCCAGCCAGGGTTATACAGTGACACCCTGTCTGAGGGGAGGGGAGGGAAAGGATTTAGAATACTTCCAAACCGTCTAACAACCTATTCTCTCCCCTGGAAAACTCTGCTCTGGCAGAACTCCCCCTACCCAGCAACCCAACAACATGCTGAGGAGTGAGGCCTCGGGCAGAAGGGAACTTTGTACTCAACCAGTCTTTGCCTGTGCTACACCTGACTAAATATTGTTAATTGTCACTTCTCCCTCCTCCTACTGCCTCCACAAACCAGTTCCTCCAGCTGACTTCCTTATTTCCAGGGTCCCCACCTCATCTCCAGTTCCCCTTCTACAGAACTGGTTCCAGGCCCCTTTCCTTCCCTCCACTGTTCACCTTCCGTTGACTGACCTGGCCTGTGGCTTTGATTTCTCTTTGTGGGTTTTTTACACACATCATCTTTCCCTCTCCACAGTCTCCACCCTGAAACAGACCTCTGATCCAGTTTACTTGGTGAATGCTCCATAGTCCGCATCCCCAGCCCTCCTTCCTCTATATTCTTATTTTGTTCTGCTGTTGTTCATTTTGGTTTCTGAGACAGGGTCTGGCTGTAGCCCAGACTTGCCTTGAACTCTCAGTCCTCCTGTCTGATACACAGCTGAATGTATGTGCCACCACACCCAGTCCTTCATATTCTTGAGGTCAAGCATCGCAGGCCAAGAGCTTCCCTTTCCACCTTCCTCAGGAGGTAACCACGTTCTTTCCAAGCTTGCTACAGGTGGTGGTTTAACCCCAGCAAATGCCACCTCCATGAGAGCACTTTCCACAGAGAAAATATTGCCAAAAGCATGTTAAATCTAGTAAACCAATGCCCACTTGTGTTTCCACAGTTTTCCACCTCATCCAATCACATCTTTTTCATCCCTGAAACTGTTACTATCATCACCTCAACTCTGTCAAAGAACTTTCTTCCTACTCCTTGAGAGTAGAAACAATCTGGCAGGTGATTCTTATCCAAGAGCTTCTCTCCGCCCCCTTTCTCCCATGCACTGTTGCTATGTTCTCTCTGCCAAATCCTGGGGGGTCCTTCTTCCAAGCACAGTAGTCACTGACGACTCAGGGATGGTAAAATCCTGCCTACCCTCTGAGGACTTCTGACTGAGCTCAAGGAGAAAGGAAGATTCTCTTGAACAGTCAAATGATGGCCCAACATCTACAGCATGCACCTCACCCTGAGCAGTGTGAAACTGGCCACACAGTTATGCTGGGGCATCCTTACTCCCGGGACATCCTCACTCCTGCCACCCTCTTGGAGACACTTTGGAGAGCAGTTAGCTCATTCAGAACTCTGTCCACTATTTATCAACTCTAGGGCCTTGAAAAGATTGCTTAACACCGCCCCCACAACTGCCAATTAGTTTCCTCATCTGTAAAATGCCATGGTGAGTCAGCTCCCTCATAGGGTAGCTGGGAAGCTTAGCTGAGTCTTTCCTGTAAAACACTTAAGAGTACAGTAAAAGTTGCAGTTGTTTTCATTATTCGACACAGTCATGGGAAATTAGAGACAGAAGGTACATTGCAAACTGTTACAAGGATCTTGGGTAACTTTTGAAAGTATAAAACCAGAAACCTCTCCCCCACCATCACCCCTAGACCTTTATCCAACCTCTAATTCTCACCTCAGACTTCATTCTGTCCCTCTCCTGACCATTCTTGCGTGCATGTATAGGAGACAGCTGGGGGTGTGTCAAGAGCCTCTCAGAATGGATGTCACCATCTCCCCAGTGCTGGGACCACAGGTGTGAGCCACCACCACAGAGCTCTGTTTTTTAGGAGTGTAGAAGGGGGGGAGGCCGGGGGGGCGGCTCAGGCTCTTCCTCCTGGGTGAGAATGATGGAGAAGGGTCCTCGGTGCTTAACTGAGCTCAGGCTAAGATATGTAGAGTTGAGAGGAAACATCAGTAACATCTTTTCCTTGATATTTTAGACCAAAACGTTCTCCTGGATCTGATCTGCTGCAGGCACTCCCAGCACAGTGCATGCACACTACTGGCTGAAGCATCTTTTGCCAAAACAACCACTCACTTTGGGGGAAGGCGGCAAAACAAAGTCTGTCCTTTTTTCCCCACAGTACCAGAATCTCCAGAAAGAAACCTCTTCCCTGATATGCTACCCCAGTCCTTTACCTTACAGATGGTCAGTGTACAACAAGAATCTCAAAACCTTGAGCAGATGGGGCGATAGGCTCTGTCACTTGGGTCACAGCAGCCCACCACACTGAAACTAAATGAGGCACAAGCAGGACCCCAAGTAAGGAGCTGGCTCCTTGGGAGCTGTGGGTCAGCTCTCAGGTGGTCAGCTTCCCGCCCTGTCTTAAAAGGATGAAGTTGCTTCCTGTGAGTTCAGGGGTGGGGACCCTTGCGGGTACCTGGAGGGGAAGAGAATGAGGAAAGAAGACTGAATGGAGCAAAGGAGACAGGGAAATCTGCTGCCTGCGAACTGAGCCACTAAGAATAAACAGACACCGGCTCCTAAGGGCTCATACATGCCTTCTTGAGGTGCCCTGTGGGCGGGGGGGGGGGGGGGGGGGGGGGGATCAGAAAGCAAGGCTGCTAGGCAGATCAAAGCTCCAGCAGAGAACCACTGCCTGGAAAAGACATCCACCGCCCGCCCCCTGCTTCCCTGGAGTGACTGTTCACACTCCCCATCCTGGGTTCTCCCAGATCAGCCTCGGGCACCGGAGTCCCGGCCCGAACCGGTTGCTCCTCCCTTTGGGCCTCAGTTTTCTGGTGTGAGACGACCGGCTGACGTCCTGATCCACGGTGTCTCCAGCTGTGCCTGTGCTCTGAGTCCGCACCGTGGCCCGAGGCTGCCCGGGTGGAGGACGCAGACGAGGACCCCGCACCCGCGCAGGCCGCCCTGGGGCAGCAGGTCTAGGTCGGCCGAGCCCTGCGGAGCACCGTCAGCCAGGGCGCCGACTCCCAGCTGCGCCCCGCACACTTACCCAGAAGTTTCCCTTGAACAGCGAGCCCGTCATGCCGGCGCGCGGCGGAGCTGGACGCGGAGGACTGCGGCGGCAGCCGAATCGCAGCAGACCTCGGACCTCACAGCCCCGGGTCAGGCGCGACTTTGGAGGTGCTCCGGGAACCCGCCCCGCCCCCGCCCCGCCCGCGCCGCGCACCTGGACATGGCCAGGGGTCAAGGACAGCGCCCGGCCGGGCACAGTGCGCCAGCACCCAGTCCCCAGTACCCTCCTGCGGGAAGCCTGGAGGACTGGCAGATCTCGATCTGCGCCCTCCAGAACCCCGCTCTGGCTTCTGTCCACCAGGCCCCCTCTCCAGGAGAAATCCGGGCGTAAAGGAGCTGTCGAGCCGGCCTGAACCTGAACACAGGGAGCCTGGAAGGACCCTGTGAGCCCAACGCCTGGGAACCCACAACGCCAGCGGTCGCTTGCGATGGAAACACTTCAGTGAATAGTGGGCATGCCCCGCCACTGAGGTGCCTGCAGCAGATCAGACGTTGGAGAATGTTGTGGTCTAAAATGTCGAGGAAATGACATTACTGATGTTTCTCCTCGACTCTAGATGTCTTACCCAGAGCAGTTAAGGACCCAGGACAGTCCTACCAAGCAGTTGGACCCCCGAGCTGCTTTCCCTTCTCTCTGCGCTCCCTGTCTCCTAAAATAGAGCCCCAGAGGGGAGAGGTAGGGGGCTCACACCTATAATCCCAGGACTGGAGAGGCTGAGGCAGGAGGACTGTTGAGTTCAAGGCCAGACTTAACTAGATTGTAAGGCCTTGTCATCTATATATAAATCTAACAGGACCCCAGGGCAAATCAAACCCCTTCTTGCTTGATAGTGGTAGGGAACACCAAGACAAAGTAATGCCGTGTGCTTTGTGCCCAGAGCTCAAACTGAAACTCAGTCTGAAAGACTGGCCCCAAATCACAGCTTATTGGAGGAATGAAAAGATCAGTTAGAAGTCTGCCCCCCCTTTTTTAAATTTTATTTATTATTTTTATTTTATGTGTATGCATGTATTGCCTGCATGTAGGTAAGTGTACCCATGTCATGCAATGCCAGTGGAGGTCAGAAGAGACTGTCGGATCCCGTGGGACTAGAGTTACAGACAGTTGTTAGCTGCCATGTGGGTGCTGGGATTCGAACCTGGGTCTTCTGCAAGAACACCATCTCTCCAGCCCCAAAGTCTGCCCTTTTTAACAGGGCCAGACACAATATAGCTATCTTCCTGGGGTAAGAAGTAGATGCTCAAAATGGGAGGATGAAAGTCAAGGGTACCAAGACTGGCTACACTTAGCCCACACCCCCAGGCTTGGAAAGTCAATCTTTTGCCTTTAGAGCAGGTTCTAGTTAGGTCCAGACACAGTACAAGGGCAGCTGTGGAGAACCTTGAAGGGCCTGGAAAAGGTTCTGCCTGGTAACTGTACCCCAAGTCCCACCAATAAGGTCATCCACAACTGCAAAGATGAGAGAGAGCTGGTGGCCCTGTTTCTCTCCAAAGACATATCTATTTACCTGGTGCTTCATGTGCTTCAAAACCTCCGAGGTTAGAGCCAAGGCAGGGAAGTCTGGCTGCACCTGCAAGGGGCTGCAGAGGCCACGGTGGACATCCATCTGGAGGATGAGGATTATCTCACTTGCAGGAGTGAGTGCACAACACATGAAACAAACTAGGTGGTAAAAGAAGCTAGACTACCAAAGACAGCATCAAGATTTTTCCTTGGGACTGGAGAGATGGCTCAGCCATTAAGACCACTGGCTACTCTTGCAGAGGACACAGGTTTGATTCCCAACACATGGCAGCTAACAAGCATTTGTAACTCCAGTTTCAGGGGATCCAATACCTCTTCTGACCTCTTTGGGCATTGCACGACCCTGATGTACTTACATACATGTAGTCAATACACTCATATACATAAAACAAAACTAATTTTTCTTTCTTTTTTAAAATATTTTATTATTTTTATTTTATGTGTATGAGTGTATTGCCTGCATGTATGTGAGTGCACCTGTGTCATGCAATGCTGAGGAAGTCAGAAGAGGGCCTCAGATTCCCCTAGAACTGAAGTTAAGGACGGTTCATAGCTGACATGTGGGTGCTGGGAATCAAACCCGGGTCCTCTGCAAGAGCAGTTACTGCTCTTAACCACTGAGCCATCTCTCCAGACCCAAAATAAAAGTAATTTAAAAAATATTTTTCCTGGGCAGCCACTCATATACCGTGGGTATTTTCATTGTATGTTTTAGCTCTTGTGAATTGTGCTGCTATAAACATCTGTGTACATGTTTTGTGTGAATAAGTATTTTCAATTATAGACCTTTCAGTCTTGGCATGATATGTGGACCCCGAACAGGCCATTCTGGTCTGTTTTCAAAATCTTTTTTCCTGGGCTGGAGAGATGGCTCAGCGGTTAAGAACACTGGTTGTTCTTGCAGAGGGCCCAGGTTCAAATCCCATCACCCACATGGCAGCTATCGGTTGTCCATAACCCCAGTTCCAGGGGATCCAACAGCCTCTTCTGTCCTCCGCAGGCATTGCATGACATGGGTGCATTCACCTACAGGCAGGCAATTACTCATACACATAAAATAACAATAAAATATTTTTTAAATTGATGAAAGAAAACATTAAAAAAATTTAAAAATGAAAATTTTAAAAAATATATTTTTTTCCTGAACGGGGCATGGTGGCATACGCCTTTAATCCCAGCACTTGGGAGGCAGAGACAGGGGGATCTCCGTGAGTTCAAGGACCAGCCTGGTCTACATAGTGAGTTCCAGGCTAGCTGAAACTACAGGGAGACCCTGTCTCAAAAAAACATATATATTTTTTTTCCACCCCCACCCCAAGCTGTTTGTTGTTTGGGCTTTTTTCCCCCTCAGTAGTGAGAATTGAAGCCAAGCAGGTCCTCATCCTCCCCTTGTTCTGTTTGTTTATCTGTTCAGGTTTAGTAAGGAATGTTTTTTTGTTTTTGTTTTTGTTTTATTTTGGAGGACAAAGTGTTACAAAGTTACCCAGGATGACCTTGGAGGATAACCTAGGCAGGTCTTGAACTTGCAACCCTCTGAAGTTACTAGAATTATAGATCTGTGCCATGATAGCCATCAGGAAATTTGTGACAAATATTTTAGATACAATTATTACTTACTATCTATGTTTTGTTAATGTGTGTGTTACTTTTAAAGTCCTCAAGCTGTCAGGCTACATTGTACTTGAAATCCTGATTCAGGCCCCTAAAAATCCCCAAATTTTAACTCTCTTCCACTCTCTAGTGGTAAAATTGAAAGTTGCAAGTGATTGTGCAGGCTGCCACAAATTTCATGCTCCTTAAATTCACCAGGTAGTAATGTGTTAAAAAGACAAGTCAAGCCGGGCGTGGTGGCGCACACCTTTAATCCCAGCACTCGGGAGGCAGAGGTAGGTGGATCTCTGTGAGTTCGAGGCCAGCCTGGTCTCCATAGCGAATCCAGGCCAGCTGCGTCTACTGGGAGACCCTGTCTCAAAAAGAAGACCAAAAAAAAAAAAAAAAAAAAAAAAAAAAAAAAAAAAAGACAAGTCGAGTCAAGTAGGTTGGGGCAAGCCTTTAATCCCAGCACTCAGGGGAGGCAGAGGCTGGTGAATCTGTGTGAGATCAAGGCCAGCCTAGTATACATAGCAAGTTCCAGGTCAGCGGGGTCTACAGGGAGACCATTTCAAAAACAAACATAAGCTAGAGATATGGCTTAGCGATAAAGAATACCGACTGCTCTTACAGAGGATCCGGGTTCAATTCCCAGCACCCACATGGCAGCTAACAACTCCAGTTCCCGGGGATCTAATGCTTTCCTCTGATCGACAAGGGCATTGCACAACATGGGTGCACTTACACACATGCAGGCAATACACTCATACACATTTTTAAAAAGTCAAGTGTATGCTATATCTAAGGGTCTTTAAGAAATTTTGCTTAGGGGCTGAAGAGATGACTCAGTGGTTAAGAGCACTGGCTACTCTTGCAGAGGACCTAGGTTGGTTCTTAGTACCCACATGGTAGCTAACTGACCTCTCATAACTTGAGTTCTGGGTATCTGACACCCTCTTTCAGCCTCCACAGGCATTGCATGTGCAGGTGTACTTACATACAGGCAAAATATTCATATAAAATAGAGCTGGATGTGGTAGCGTAGGCCTTTAATCCCAGCACTTGGGAGGCAGAGGCAGGTGGATCACTATAGGGAAACCCTGCCTCAAAAAGACAGAAAAAAAATCAAACTCAGTAGTTTAAAACAATAAAGCCTTATTTTTTGTACAGTTTCTCATGGTAGGAATGTAAGAACTGTATGGTTTAGCCTTTGGATTTTGTCTCAGATTGCAGGCAACTGTCCTCTCCAGGCTCACATGCGGCTGGAAACGACATCTTTAATTTTTTTCAGGGGGGGCAGGTCTTTTTGAAACAGGGTCTCCCTGTAGCCCCAGCTGGCCTGGAACTCACTATGTAGACCAGGCTGGCCTTGAACTCACAGAGATGTACCTGCCTCTCCCTCCCAAGTGCTGGGACTAAAGTCATGCACCACCACACCAGGCTAGCTGGGGAATATTTTTACACTTGCTCCCTTCTTTGCTGGCTAGTTATTGCCTGACTGTTTGCCCAAGATTCATTTTATCACTCTGTAAGCTTTCCCCAGCTCTGAAACCTGCTTTCCCAGAGCGAGTAAGCTGAGTGGGACAGAAGAAGAGAGAAATGCACAAGGAAGATGCATAATTTTCATAACCTAATCTTGAGCCCTGTTTTGAGGCATGTCACCAGCAAGCATCAGGAGTTCCTACCCAGCCCAGACCGCACCCCATAGCCTCATCTACCTGCCTCCGAGTCCATATGGAGGCCCCCAGGCAACTCAGATCCATTGGGTGTGTCTCCTTCCTGGCTATCACTAGTCATCCATATTTATATTAACACTTCTAGCAGTTTCCTTGGACAAGAACTTATACTCTCCACAGAAGATCTCAGTGTCCTCAAGGAGCCTTTTGGGAATTTATGATGAATTATTCCAGTTGCTCTCAATATTAGTTTCTAACTTTTCTGTTGGGAAACCCAAAACCAAATAAATTTACTTAAGGAAAAATGAGAATAACATTTTCCTAAGTAAAAA